TTGTCTTTATTTTTAGTTAGCACATACCTTAAACACTTAAAGCTGTAAGCTAATGATAGTTATATAAGAGCAGATGCTGCTGGTGCAATAAGCTGTACGCTGTACATCCAATGGATGAATGATCTGATTAGTCGACTAATCGCAAAAATAATCGGTGACTAGTCGACTATCAAAATAATCGTTTGTGGCAGCCCTACCCACCAGGGGCATACCGGGCATTTGCCTGGTGGGCTGATGGTGATTTTTCATTTTTATGTTTGTTTGTTTTTGTAACAGTATAAACAATGAAAGGTGGTGGATTAGCCAATTGGTCATGATCAACTCTGGGCTGGACCAATTACAATACATCCGTATTGAGAGGAAAAGGAACGAGATTAGTCCCGGACTTCAACTAGAATGAAAAAAAGACAAAGCTGGAGTTATTCTGTCTTTGGTGCACAGCTGCCTCTTCTCCCCTCATTCTCTCTCCCTCCCTCTCCTGTTGCTACTTCAATCATGAAACCGATCAATGATCAGCTGATCGTCTCTCTTGTTTATTTATCTCCCACTTTGCGCCAGAAACAGCCGCAAAGTGGAGTGGGAAGTAGGAGTGGGAAGATGAGCATGGATGTTGTTGCTTAGCTTATTTTAGGTACCTACTTTCCAAACATCCAGAAATATCCATCTACACGTTTTGCTATTGCATTTTCTGACACTGGCATTTGTCATAAATGTATGATTTATCTTCTCAAACACATCATTGCAAGTCATTCTAGCAATGCATACTATATCATTATGTACTTCTTCTTGTGCCATTAGGATAACACATTGTAGCATTTCTGTTCCATTCCATGTGAAGGAAACCCATTTACCAGTAGAATGAAGGTTAAAATTAGAAAAAAATATTGTAGAGAAAATCATTCTCAGCACTTGTGCCTAGATGTTCAACAAAAATTAAAGGAAAGCATTAGTTTCCTCCTTTGATCGCTTCTGGATTTCATTTTCTAATTAACTACTTACTAAAACCTTGGCTGTGCTGATATGAAGGATGATGCATCCCCAGCCACAAGCCACAACTTAGCAAGCCCGGTGGCAGGGGAGGTATGTTTTTTTCAATCACCTGCCTACTGGCATTATCAAGCTGGAGACCCTTCACTTACTCTATTCTAATTCCTCCACCTGGGGCGGTAACTGGTCCCTGAGTTGGAATGGGCACTTCACCCTTTTCTGGATGTGGACCATGGTCTAAGACTTTGAGGCGCTGATTCTCATTTACATCGGGTCACACTTAGCTCTGAACCGCTCCAGTGCGAACTGGAGGCCACCTTCTGATGAAGCCAACAGAACTGCATCATCTTCAAAAGCAGAGATGAGAAGCTGAGAAGAAATTCTGTCCATAAAAATGAACAAAATCTGTCACAAACGAGTTCCAAAAAATCAGAAGTAGTGATGCCATCTTGATGGTGTAAATTATCTGGGAAGCCTGTTGGGAAAACAGGACCCAAATGCAGGACTTCCAGAACAAAGACAATGAGTTTATTTTGAATGTAAAACAATACAGTGCAAAACAGTTTAAATATCAGCAGTGACTGACTTTCCAGCTTCCAGTGCAGTGAATTCTCTTCCAAAAGCTGTTGCCACAGCTCCCACAGCAACATTTATGAAAACACACTTGGCTCCCTCGACACGCTACACAGTTTCCTGAATATGAACAAAACACAGCTGTTAATGTCATGAGAGAAGGGGATTGGACCCAAAATGCAGACTCAATAGGCAGAACAACTCAAACACTGCTTTATTGCTGGATGTCCTAATACAAAAACAAAACTGGGAAAACATCAAAACTAAACTAATGAACATAACAACACAGGACAGAGGGTGACGCTGGCATAAATATACACAAGGGCAGATGAGGAAACAAACCACAGGAGGAAACAGACTGAGCATAAACTAACAAGACAGGGGAGGCACAGCTGAACATGAAACATAGGACAAGAGACTGTCAAACTGAAACAGGAAATAGTGGCACGCAGACAGACAAAACCCAGGAAACAGAGGGAGGAGAAATGGGGCCCATGACTGGAGAAACGGGCAACTAGACAAACATCAAGACAAGACTGACCTAACTAGGAGAATACTGAGGGAAAGACACAGAGATTTGATAAAAAGACATGAACTGGACCAACACCCAAGACAACCTAAACTAGAAATACTGAATAAACTCCAGTGTGTAAGCAAACTAAACTAGAAAATATAAAATACACTGAGAACATAATGAATAAACCAGACTCAAGCATCTTAAGCATCTCCGCAAAGTGTGGTTGCATTGACCTCTGCTCCTTGGAAATGTGTTGTAATATTTTTTTGCGTCCATCCAGTCGGTCTTCCTGTATCGTTAGCATTCGCTTGACAGGGCTCAAATCCACTGGGTCCTGTTAGGTAATAAATATATAATCTTAAATGCTTATATGCTGATTATATTGGTTTATATAAGAGAGGCCCAGACTTCAGTGTAAAACTAGGTTGCAAGCTGACAGGAAATTACATGCTTTTGCAGAGCGTGCTTTTGCAGCTAGAAAGTGAAACCAACTAGGCTGTTTGATCGGAACTTAAAGTGTGGTGTGACGTAGAGAGCAAGTATATAAATACCTAGGCTTCCGTTTGTGCTTCAGACCTGGGGTTGTGTGTTTTGTGTTCAGGTCTCCATATCCGGATATGTAAAATAAAGATCATTTTTAAAGTAAAAGGACCACTTTGAGCCCTGTGTCTTTCTTGGCTATAAAGAATACTAAAGAACCGGAATTTAATAGTCCATTCTGGCTGGATCATTCTGTCAAATCTGTCAGGAAAATAGGACCCAATGCAGGACTCCCAGAATGAAGACAGTGAATTTATTTAGAGTGTAATGTAATCTTTTCAGCAGTGACTTCCCAGCTTCCAGTACAGTGACTTCTCTTCCAAAAGCTTCTTTCTCCACAGCTTCCACAGCAATATTTACAATAACACACATGGCTCCCTCCACATGGTTCTCCTTACTTGCCAAAACACAGTTGTACGAGCTGACTGTTGCCACACAACGATCCAGTGTTGACTGAAGCACAGCCACTCTGTTAAGTAGGTCTCTAGTGATGAGCTACAAACATGTGATCATTGTCAGGTGTGGCTGGCTTCAGAGTGAAAAACTGTCAAGGCCCCATGTTCATATGAAGGCAAGAACATGTGCACACACACACGCACATAAACGTACAAAGAGGGAAGGCATGGACAATGAGCAACAACAAACAAAAATAGAAGCATCAGGTGAGGACATGAGGACTAAAACATTACCATACCTGCAAAATAATGGCTAATAAAATGGATCACTTTATAGTCCAGTGAAATAAGCCCTATAATAGTTATTTCTAACATATTTTTCTTGGAGTGTTCAATAGTAGCTTTGCATGATTAAAAAACATTTTTTCTTATATTCATCCTTGGTGCAACACCTCGCTCCTTCTGTCATTCTATTAGTGCATTCCTGAATAACTCAGAAGTCGCAATTTTAGAGTTAGGGGACAATCGCTTTTTCACACAGGGCCAATTATGTTTCAATTTCTTTCTCCTTAATCATAAACACCTTCATCTAGAAACGTTTGTGTTTACTTATGTTATCTTTGTCTAATATTTAAATTTGCTTAATTATCACATTTAAGTGTGACACAAATATAGGAAATCAGGAAAGGGGCAAACACTTTTTCACAACACAGTAACATTATTGCAGTAACATTAATACTATAAATGTGGCCAGGTTTGTACTCTAAGGAGCTTAGAAAGAAAAGCGTCTGGACTTCTTTAAGTTGCTTGAAGACGTTTCAACTCTCATCCGAGAAACTTCTTCCGTTCTAGGGCAGAACGGAAGAACCGGAAGAAGCTTCTCGGATGAGAGTTGAAACGTATTCAAGCAACTTAAAGTCCAGACGCTTTTCTTTCCAAGCTCCTTAGACTACAGTGACCTGGATCACTGAGAACCTTCACAGACCAGGTTTGTACTGTTGTATTTTTGTTTTCTTGATATGAAATTATTTATGATCAATTAAGGCACATGCCAATTCTCATCTGTCCATTTCTTCTATGAATGTCAACCCAGCACTTTGAGCTAATGTGGTTTTAAAGTTCAAGTCAATATGAGAGAGTTAAATTACAGTGAAGGACAGTAACGTCTAACCCTTGACTTGAGGTTATCCTCTTACAGAGCATACTCAATCAATGAGCCTGCCACACACACAAATCAAATTTCCTTGGTGAAAGTTAAAATCCTGTCATACTTCAAATTAGTCTGATGCTTGTCTAATAAGCAATGTGGCATAGATACATGATGAAGAAAATCAATCATGTATAACATCACACCGAGCCAGAGAATTGAGAGATTTGTCAGCTAATTTCATGCTAATTGAGTCCCCATCCCTGGGGTTATTTTTAACCTCATCATGGGTCTGACCACATGCAATAGCAAGTACTTCGCTTATTTGTCATTAATTAGAGTAAAAACATCAATCACGATTCTTCTTTCTACCCTCAGTACCTGCCAGGATCACTAACATATCAAAGGACGTCACGGTGAATGAAGGCAGCAACGTCAATCTTATGTGCCTGGCAGTTGGTCGACCTGATGCCAACATAATTTGGAAGCATCATTCACCAAGGGGTAAGCCATGGTTTATTTTTATTTTATTGTTCAGCTGATTACTGTGTGTAAATCCTCTGATAGAGTACCCCATAGCAGAACCTTTTGGATTCCAGTTGAGTTGTAAACTCATGGTGGCATAAAAAATTATTTTGTTATTATTTTGAATCATGAATTTTTTACAATACTTTTCTTTTGTCCAAAACTAGAAAATTTATATTGATCTCTATTAGCATTAAAGTTGCCAAAGTTCATTTAAAAGTTTCTCAAAACAAATATGTGAAGCAACTCATTACCTCAGTGTAAAGGTGTCTAAACCAACTCCCCACACACTCAGATACACTTGAGAGTCCCACACAACACTCCCAATTCTTGTTTCACATGAATTTTCTTCTATATGTAGAACAGCTATTTATCTCTAGATGGAAATTAATCTGTAGCTGTTTTTATTAACGTACACTTTCCACAACAGGGTTTAAGATTAATTGTAGGCCGCAACCCTTTCTTCTTTTCAAAGTGGTGGATTTAAGGAGATGAAACTGCACAGTCTGTGGCCTGACAAGAATGAACTCCAATCAAAGTATTACTTGGCTAGAGGCCACAGCTCATTTTTTGATTGTTTGGCTTGTTTGGATTGTTGGCTCCTCACAGCAAAATACCACCTAAGATGCTCTGTGTGCCACTATGTATGTGTATCTTTGTGTGTTCTATGTTCTAATTGCACTTCCAACTTTGTATAACACCAAATCACAACTACAGTTGCTCTAAGGTAATTAAATTAAATCAGTTAAACCCTATTAGAATAACTACAGTGTGGACTGGTGTGATTAACACAGACTGCATATTCAATTCAGTTTTAAGTTTTAAGAAATACAAATTATGTTGCATTTCAAAACATATCTTTTATTTTATCAAGAGGAAATTAAAGGAAATAGTAAGTAAAATGTAAATATAAAAAGTCACTCTGTTATGTGATTTGAAACTCACCCCATATCAGAAAGAAACTCTTTACAACCCACTGTGAGCTGGTGCACAGTTGCAAGAATAGTGGTAAATAGAATTAGAAGTAATAAACTGGCATCAACAGCCAGTCAACCTGGTATATTGCCTTTATGCTTGTGTGTGTATGTGCTCTAGTCAGTGAGGAAAGTAATGGATTATCTTACTTGACGTTTCTCTGACTAGCACTAAAGAGAAGAAATACTATGTGGGGAGATCTTTGGGCAGCCAAAGAAATTGTTGCTGGCACTCAGAATCTTAAATGTTTTTCCTGCAGAGTAGCATTTCAGACTTGCTTCTTACCATTTGCTTTTCATGTTTGTCACTAGTGATAATGAACTATTCCCTCAAAGGATAGTGTTGGTGCTTGTTTGCTCACTTCATTGCCAAACTGTGTTGTTCAAGATTTAAGCTGCTTGAATGTCTAAAATGTCTTAAATCTGCAATGTTGTCTTGCACTTTATATTACTTATATAACTGGCATAAAATGTTCACTCTCAAATAGTGTCAGCAACATAAACGATTGTAGCTTTGCATAGAAGGTGCTGCACCTTCACTGTGAATAAGAAAAGAGTGTTTGGCAAATGTTACTTATTTTGAACTTAAAATTTCACAAAAAACTGTTTCAAGTGAATTACTGTAAAATTACCATGTACGTGGAGTACATGAAACACTACATGTACTAAGTCTAATTTATACCACTGACACCTATTCTGAACAACTGTTATACATTTAACACCGTGCATGAAGCTGGATTTAAAATTAAAATTCTTTAAGTTACAGTTTTAGAGTAAGTGTAGTGCCATCTTGTCCAAATACATAAAATGGCATTGTTGTTGATACTCCTACATTGATTTATGTAAGCTAACTAGTGACAGAACATACATACATACATAACAATAGAGACAGAAACAAACAAAAAAAAGCAGGTCTAAAGGGTGAATTTTGTATTTTTTTCCTGGCTGTAGCAATGAGTTTCATCTTTAAAAAGACAAGGGAAGAATAACCACTTTGATGCTTTTGATGCCTCTGCCCTTAACCCTTGGATGCACAACCTACCAATACCTACACTCTTCCACGAGTGTGGAAGAGTCCAGAGGACTCCCAAAAAACACAACGAATACCAGTTCACTTCCTGGAAGAATGGTTAATCAAATGAAGGCCATGAGCTTATGTTAGGCCATGAGCTCTTTTCCCCTGTCTCTGGCTACTCTTCGTGCCTCCATGTTTGTGCATGTCAGCACCTCTTCTATTATATTATCAGACATGAACATCTTCCATGCATCTATTGGGGAGACAGTACTAAACCCAGGTGCAAGCCCTGGCCGACTATTCAGAATATTGAGCAGGAAGAGGGGCTCATTCTGTTAGACACAATATCCATTTCCTCTTCAGAGGACTCCTCTGTGTCTGACTGGCCTTATTCAGTGGTGTAGACAATAATCTGGGTCCTCTATATCTAAGAAGTCAGATTCTGAGTCAATGCCTCTGATGGGCTCTTTATCCCCTCTGTCCTGGATCATTTGTAGGGCAAGGTCCACAGGGATCCTAGCTGGCCTCATAGTAGCCATGTTACTTTAGATATTAAAAATAAACATCAGAAAGGACAATATTTGAAATGCACAGAAAAGTATAAATCGTTTGTTACTGTCTAAAAATTAAACCCTGATCCACCAGAAGTGTAAGTGGGACAGTCAGAGTTGCTAAAAATTAATGGTTCATTGAAAATTCCATAGGAACTGCTTGGGGTCATTTTTGATCCCACTTGTGGAAGAGTGGGGTAGTGATACAAAAACTGCATTTTTTTTAATTATTGAAAAAATAAATAAAAACTCAAATGGCCTCAAAGTTTTACATGGATTATCTGTCAAGTGATACATTCAAAACAAGTTAAATGTTAGGAAGTGGATCAACTTTGTTAATTGCTTTAAAGGAACACTGTAAGAACTGAAACTTTAAGTAATCTGGTGCTCTGCATATTTCCTTTCTAAGTTCATGGTTCTGTCCAATTAAGATTTTTTATAGGTGAAGTCATTTTACCAATTTGTGTTATTTGGATGCTAGAAGTGTTGTAGAAGTAAGTGCTGTGTTGTATGTGTTTTTGGTTTTAGGAACAAAGTTCACCATATTTATACGACTCAAGATGGTATTCATTCAAATATTTTATTAAAGTGTTGTAACATCTTGAAGGTATTATCCATTCTTAATGTGTTGGATAAGTTCATCTAAAGGGAAGGTTAAGCTTGTAGCTATTAATATTTCAGGCAATTGAGCTGGTCCATTGTTAAACCGCATGTCTGTTAAAGGTATAGCTATAATTTATTTTGTGCCAAGTAATAAGTAAACATTGCAGAGTGGATCAAATGACTGAATATGAAACTAAGAATGGCAACTTACTTGAGGATAATAGTGCCACAAATGTACAGCAGTCACATGAAGAGGAGCCATGAATAAGTCAGAGAACTCAAAAGCTTACTGAAAAGGCTCAGGAACTGCATGATGATAAGTCAAAAAAACTTCAGCATCGTTTCAATATAACTTATGATGAATGGAAAGCAACTGCCAAGCAAGCTAAGAAAATGATGAAGGGAGCCCCCTCTGTTGAGGTTGGGAAGGATTTGATGTGCAAGTTAAGTTGTGCATCAGCAGATGTGAAACACACATATGAAGATTTGCGCAAATGTGCTTCCCCAGACAGTGAGATCCGTCGTAGAGTTGACACCTGTGACGTGGTATCTAAAATAATCTTGGACAATGCAACCACTTGTCTTCATAATAAAGATAACGAAGATGTTCAGACAGAGGATTTAGTCTGGCCTGAGTCTAGCTCAGTGTTTTCATCTTCAGCTTCTCAAGGCACAAGTAAGGGCTCTCAAAGATGTTTAAGCTCTGCAAGTAGTTCCAGCATAAAGTCGCGAAAGTCAAGCCTTTCCTCCATTAAGAGACAAGAGGCCGTAGCAGAGCTGGCTGCCACACAAGTTGCACTAAAGGTCCTGCAGGAGATAGAATGTGAACAACAAGAACTTGGAAGCCTTGAAGAAGAAGATAGAAAGAGGATTGCATTACAAGAGGAAGAAAATGTGGCAAGAAAGAAAGCACTGGAAGAGACGCACAGACAAATAGAGTGCTTACAGACTGTTAAGAATCTAAGTGCGGCAAAGGCACGGCTCCAAGTTTATGAACAAGATGCAAGCTCAGATGAGGAAATAACAGAGTTACTTCATAACCATGCAGCTCAGCAACATAGATCTCCAGGAGCTATAAGGAGTCCACGTGAGCATCCTGTGATACACCAAACAGATAGTGTCACAGTCCTTGCTGAAGCAATAGCAGAGTCTATTAATGTAAGCCATCTACCAGTACCTGAACCTTCTGTCTTCATGGGAGACCCACTGAGAAACAATGATTGGAAGATGTCATTTCAAACCCTAATAGGTAGGAAAAACATTCCAGTAAATGAAAAGGCCTATTACCTTTGTAAATAAGTTGGTGGACCTGCAAAAAGGGCCATCAAAAGTTATTTCCTATTAGGAACAGATGCAGCTTACGACTCAACATGCTAAGCTTGCAGCATGGCCCAAAATCGGACCCAAAGACAGTGTTGAGCTGAGGGATTTTTCAGACTTCCTTAGAGACTGCCAGGCTGCAATGTCCCAGATTAAGAGTCTGGAAGTATTGAACGACTGTGATGAAAGTCAAAAACTTCTAACAAAACTGCCAGAATGGTGATTGAGATAGAAGAAACTTGTAATGTGTTTCCTACTTTCAGTCAGTTTGTGGAATTCATCACAAAGGAAGCAAAAATAGCTTGCAATCCAGTAACTTCTCTTCATGTCTTGAAGTCCAGTGATGGTGAAAAAATAAAGACAACAAAGGCACGAAACATTGGTGAAAAGGTGCTTGTGAGCAACTCTGAAGAGAATGCAGAACCCAAGAGATGCACCTTCTGTGAAAAATGCAATCATGGTATTCAGACATGCTGGAAATTCAAGGAAAAACCAGTTGAAGAACGCGTTAAATTT